ATTTACTGCGTCGCCAATAGCCATCATATTGCTTCAGAGGATGATGTAAAATAAATTGGGAAAATTTTTACTCAATTCCCCCTTTCTTCTTACAAATGGGAAAAAAAAAAATTCGGTAATTTTTTTTGTTTTCACTTTTCACTTATCTCAAAATGTGCATCTTGTGACTGCCACTTATAGCGATAGAAGCAGTGATCGACAAATACATACCTCTTTATTTGATAAATTTTTCTCAGATAGAAGAATATTTAATAAGTATGTCTTTAATTCAGTATACATTCTACATTAATTATTGCCCATACTATCCTGAATACAGAAGCTGTAACCTGTTTAGTTAATTTTTATAAATATTCTTGTAATGAGACTTCTTACAATCTCATTGCATCGATTTATTTGATTTAATTTCACTCAGATTAATTTATATAAATTAATGACGCATATTTATTGTTAGTTTCTCAATATTCATGATCTCTGAAATTTATTTTGTACTGGAACATTATTTTTATAATTTTTTGCTTCTTCTTATGAGGCTGTATTTTTTAAGCTTTTGTGTTAAATTGTTGATTACATACGTATTTATATTTTAATAACACCTTATATTTTCTTTTTTACAATTTTATATTTTTATTTTAAATATATATATATATATATATATATATGGCTTATTCTCTACAAACAAGAGAAACACATCCAACAATCACATTTCGAAAAAACATGAAGTGTTATAGGGCCCCCCTTTGGTGCCCCATTTTTTTGATTGTAAAATGAGCAGAGGGGGGGGCCCCTTGAATAAAAGACATTTTAAATTTTAAAAGATTTTTTAAAATAAATTAAACGTATAACAATTTAGTTAAATTTAAATTAGTGAGAAAGAATGAACGAAACACAAAAAGATAGTTAAATCAAACCCGCGTAACTTAGATCCTTTTCTAAATAAATATTATCCACCTATTCTATTCTAATAATACAAGTCCTAATATCAAAAATCAGTCCTACCTTTTTCCCAAACTTAACTTCAATCTTTAAATAAAAACGTTCGGGGCGGGGAAATTTTATGCCCCCGGGGAAAAGGGGGTTTCGGGGTCCAATGGCGTCAATTCACCCCGTATCCCCCCAAACAAAAATTTCATCAAATTGATTCTGTTACGAATTTGTTTTTGAAAAAACTTTTTTTTTGCATTTTTTGCATTTTTCGGGGTTTTTGGGTTAAAAAGAGTTGCCATTAATCTGGGCCATCAAAAAACCCGAAGTTAGTTACAGAAAAAAGCAAACCCCGTCATAACCCCCCAAAACAAAACGTGATTTATTCGAGGATCTTAATGGCCCAAGAAATTACGTCCAAAATTTTTTTTTCTTAATCTCCCACTTTCCCAAAAGTTTTATTTTAAATTTAACCTTGAATCTCTTTTTAACTTTTAAATTTTAATTCAATTTCTTTTAATTTTCATTTTCATCTTAAATTTAATTTTTTAAAATTTTCCCTCCTTAATTTGAAATCTTGCCCGCCATAAAAAATTTTTCCAAATTTAAATTTGGGGAAACAAACAGTTATGAAAACATGGCAATTCTCACTTTTAAAAAAGGGCATGCCCCACCCGGGGCGGTAGAAAAACCATCTTTGATTAGAGGGAAAAAAACGGGTCGACATGCCCCTTAACCCAACAAAATAAAAATTTTATTTCTAATGTTACTTAAACTACTATAACAATCTTCTTTATCTTTTTTGCTTTCCATCCAGTACAAAAATTTTGAGACTTGGTTTTTAAAATTAATTCAGGGTCTGTCACCCTGAAATAAAACCAAATTTTCCCCAAAACATACACATAAAACCGGAAATTTTAAATTTTTTATCATTTATTCACTTTTTTAAAATTAAAAAATTTTTAAATACTGGCTTTCCAAAAATCCCTTTCTGCCCCAAAATTTTAAAATTTTTCCCCGAAACCAAAATTTTGAAAAAAAAAAAAAAAAATTAAAATTAAAAACCCAAAAAACAAAAAAAAATCCGATTTTTTTTAAAAAGGCTTTTTGGCAATCCTTTTTTCCCTTTTTGGGAACCTTTTTTTTTTTTTCCCCAGGAAAAAGGTTTAAAAAAAAAACCCCAAATTTGGTCTTCGCCCCTTTTTTTTCCTTTCCCCCCTTTTCCCTTTCGGGGCTCTGTTGGGGATTTTTTTTGTTGGGTCTTCCCGCCCTTGATCTCCGCTCCTTTTAGTAGGGTCTGTAATTGTCTCCTCGGCTTTCCTTTTGGGGTCTGGGTTCACTTTATGGTTGGTCGGGACCCTGGTCCCTTCTTTTTGGGGCTGAGGTTATCCTCCCATCTTGAACCACTGCTTCTTCCGTTCGGTTCCTCTTCCTACTTTTTTATAAATGGTATGGGTTTTCTGTGACAATGGTCTTTTATTTATTTTTGGTCAACACGTTTCTTAACGGGGCCACTTGACCAAGATCCATGCGATCGTTTTATCCTAATCTTTCTTGGCGTTTTTTTTAATCTTTTTTATTTGAAAAACAGGTAGTGATCCGATAAGTGGCCGGCTTTTCGGGCCCCACCCGTGGTTTCTCTCCGTTTATTTGACTTAAGATTTATCTCTTTTTTCCCCTAACTCACGCTTTACATCTGACCCCCCCCCATATTGCTACCCTTTATCTTCGTTGCGTTTTTCCCCAAATCCGTTTCCTGACTGAACTAATGCTATCCGGCTACCTTTTTCCTATCTCAATCTCTACATTTCCTGGGGCGATATATTTCACTTGATCAACATTACCAACCTTTTTTCCAACCACCATTATAACATTATTCTTTTTTTCTTTTAACACCAACGGACCTTTAAATTTTTTTTTTTTAAAAGGCAAAAATTTTTGGCTGCTGAACTTAAAGGGTGTTTCAAAAAAAACCCAGTCATTCACCAATTTGTACATCACGCCTGGTCATTATAATACATCTCCCTTTTATGTTTAGCTTTTTGGGTTTTTGCTGCCTATCAAACAATTTTTCAATATCTCCTACTGCGAATTCAGTTAGGTCCGAAACCATGATTAATTTTTGAAATGGGGTAATCAACTTTCGACCCAAAAATAATTCCGCAGGGTTTTTCCCGTCGTTTCATTCACTGCTGTACGAATAGCATAAGCAAACTCACGTAAGAATTGGTCCCATGTATCATGTTGATCATTTACATAATTTGCAATCACTTTCATTTAAAGAATTTCATACACGACAATGAAGGAAAGTTTAAATGCCATAAATTACATGAATAAGCATCAAAAATCCCAATTCTTTTTTTTTCTTCTTTCAACTTAGTATGTGTATGATAACAATCTAATAACTGGGTTAAAAATTCTTGTAGTTTTGCTACGATACCACATAGTTGATACCGTATGGTGCAGCAGCGTGACAGCTGGAGCAACTGAACTGAAAACATTAGAAGGCAGTATACTTCAACTATCCTGCAATACATCAGGCCAATACGTTGATGAAGCTCGCATTATTGAAAAAGACTTCACCGCTCGGAACGGATTTGTACATCACATTGATACTGTGATGATTCCTAACAGAGGTAAATTGTTTTAAAACACTCATATACTTGAACTGTATGTACTAGAATTTTCTGGACTCTTAGTCTGGGATACAAATGTCTCTTTTCCCAGGAATTTGGGGAAATGTGTTTAATGCTATTTTAAGTATGTTATAACCTGGATTAGAAAAGAAGGCATTATTGCGAAAGTTCTTATGTGTTTCGGTAAGTTTTTCACTCAGCAAATTGGAAGACACAAAGCTATATTTCTGTGGGAAAAATATGTGCTAAAAAGACTAATGTATTGTACAGAATATCTCCACAAAAATATTCATCAACACTATTAAAATCTGAAGGTAAACAAACGTATCTATCTATCTATGTGACCCAATTTTCTCACGAACCACACAACGCTGAAACTTACCAAAGATATCAAATTTTCGGGAATGATCCGAGGAATCCGTTTTGACCATTTATATTCCGATATTCCAATTAGTTAAAAAGATATTAATTAAAAACCTTAAAACGCATAATTAGTACCATTTCTCACCGCCAGGGAAAATTCGGAACTTCTTTCTTTTTTTCAGACGTTTTTAAACGCGATCTAATTTTTTTCATGAGACTCATACCAAAAATAATTACAGATTCGGAAAAATCATTTATTTCGCCACGATATGATATAATTTATCTTACAAAATAATTATATTTTGTATTTTTTACGATTTTTTTTAAAATGAGTCGAAATTCGTTCCTTTTTTGAATACGATTTCTAAATCGTTCCGCTTGCACTTTCTTTCGCGTTAGTGAAAAAAATATTTCACACTAAAAAGTTCATGCTTTTCTTTTAGAATCAGTCATTTAAAAATTTAATGTCAAAAACGTTTTTTTACGATTTTTCAAAAAATACTCAAAATTTTATTTAAATACTTAATAACTTCTTTATTTATAAAAATCTCACGAAACTTTTTTTTTCGTGTGTAGAACAATATTATACTTAATCTATACAAAGATTGATAAAATATCTTAAAAATTACGGGGTTTTTTTAAAAAAATGTGTTTTTCGTTTTTTTCTTTTTTGCGAGAAATATGTAAGCATTATTTTTGAAGTTATACTTCTTTTGGGGCGTTAGAGAAATAGGATGAGGGTAAATTTTTACAATGCGCGCGCACACCGTCACGGATGCGAAAATCCTTTGTCTAGAAATATACAGAACGGGACAAATCATTCTCACCTTCAAATTTCTCAAAAAAAATATTTCTCTTCACTTCCCTGAAGGAGATAACCGGGTTTGAACCGGAGACCTCTCGAACTGCAGTCGAATGGTTTACCACTGAGCTAAACACCTCGTCTCAGAAAGCCTTTGCTTTGCGTTCCGTAGGAATGGATACGAAAATGCTTTGTCTAGAAATATACAGAACGGGACAGATCACACACACATTGCCGCCTTTGAAATTCTCAAAAAAATTAATTCTCTTCACTGAAAATGGGGACACCGGGTTTGAACCGGGCACTTCCCGATCTGCAGTCAAATGCTCTACCACTGAGCATACCAAAGCTATCTAGAAGAGTAAGCCCTGACACTGAACTGATCTGAAACCGGTCACGTGGCTAAAGGAGGGACGAATTTGGCGGGAGAAACGATTACATTCCCACTTCCATCTTGTATGCTGACAAAGTTGATAGGTTATTCCACGTGTAATTATATTCATTACTCAGGATAAATTGACTGTGGATTTTCTGCAAAAAGGATTAATCACAGGATTTCTTTATTAAGCAAAAAAGAAAAAGGCACAATATTTGTATTATTCTTATCATTGAATTTTTATTCTTTTGAGTCTTGAGAACACGATATAATAAACTGACGCATATATGCCAACATCCTTGATTATTTGTAAAAAAGATATTTTGTTTTATAAGAGAAATTAGTGCTTAAATGTAAAATTAGTGTTTTGTTTATTCTGTCAAATCTTAATTAACTGAAAAATATTATTAATAACTTAACCTAAAGCTGTACACATTTCACAATAATGCCTCGTTACTGTTGTGTACCAAATTGTTCCTCTAATAAACCGGGGCAGCCGTACGTTTCTGTGTTTCGTTTCCCAAAGGATGAACAGTTGTTACAAACTTGGAAAAGGAAAATTCCTAGGGATTTTAAAAATACTAACAATAGTGTAGTGTGCATTATATAAACATTTCCCTGAATCTTTCATTGTGAGAAAAGATAAAATTACAGACAAGACTGGTATTGTTGTAGAAATACCTAGAGTGTATCCAAAATTATCAGAGAATGCATATCCTTGCATTTTCCCTGGTTGTCCATCCTACTTGAATGAAAAATTAAAAAGAACGCTCGGTGACAATTCAACGAAAGGAAAAAATGAAAATTGGGACGAACAACTGTTTACTAATTTCATTAAGAAAGACAAATTACCAGTTTTGAATGTTTAAAAGAAAATCTGCTAATGCGAGAAAATCCTATATCTGATTTCTTATCAAAAAACAATGTTCTAAAACATGATTGTGAAAGTTGCATAACATTTATTTTATAAATTGCGAAAAATTGTCCTTCCATTTTAAAATCCCTGAAAATAAATACAGATCTTTTATTGTTTTATTTAATAATAATCGTGAATTAAATATACCTTCTTTTGGGAAAAAATTTAATAATCCTCCTAGGTTAACATATTTCAGCGAATTGTTAAATATTTTTAATACAGTAAATGTCTTTGAAGAAATCTCTTCCATTAATTCTGTTCCTCATCATGTTATGGCTATTCAATCATGGGAAAAGTATATTGAAAACTGTAATGCTGAAAATTTCGAGGCAGCAAATTTTATTTTAGAGCAAATGAAATTATTAAATTTGAATAAACATAGCCGTAAGTATAGCAGTAATTTAATGGTTTTTTCTTTCTGCATGTACATTAAATCTACCACGTGTTATTCCTATGTAAGAGATAAGGGGAATATAATTCTTCCTAGTGTGAGACAATTACAAAGAGTTACATCTGGATTAAATGTTACTCCAGGTTTGTCAACTCTGGCTAATGAAAATTATCTACGAGGTAGGTGTAAAGAACTGAAAGACCATGAGAAACAGGTAATATTACAAATTGATGAAATTTTCATCAAATCAGCGATTACATATAAATGTAATAAAATAATTGGATTTACTGAGAAATTGGGAAGCAGCTACTACGATTCAATTTTTTTATACTCTTCTTTTATTGAGAAAAAAATAAAGAAATAGTATCATTGAATCCGTAAAACATGAATGCTGAAGACTTGCATTCTATGACTTTAGAAATTTTGTCACTAATGGAAAAAGTAGGTTTTTCAGTTGTTTGCATTGTAAGTGATAATAACAGAGTAAATAGAAATTGTTTTTCTAAATTGTGTAATGGTACCATAAAGAGTGTTATTCAGAATCCACCCTAATAATGCAAAAAATTACATCTTTTTTTTGATTCACAGACATCTTATCAAATCTATACGAAATAATTGGTTAAATCAGAAAGATGCTGATTCTTCTTTAATGTATCCTGATCCTTCGAATTTTCTCAAACCCGAAAAGCATCTTTCTCATCATTATTTAAAATTTATAACGAAGAAATGAACATTATTGTTAAATTAGCCCCTAAATTATGTTTAAAAGTTTAAAACCAACAAATTTTTTGAGAAACAAAATGTTAAATTAGTTTTAAAAATTTTTTGAAAAAGCAATGTGACTGCACTTAATATATTAAAAGATAAATTAAGGCTACCCAGAAATGTTTAGGGACACTGCAATTTTCCCATCAAACATTTTTTTAGATTTCTGGCAAATAATGAATATTAAAAGTCCAACTAAGGGTCAAAATCTTAAATTGAAAATCAGTGTTCCTTTTTCATCAATGGATGATGATAGATTTACTTTTTTTTCAAAATTTGTTCAGTGGAAAAATTCAGTGGACTGCTGGAAAAATTTAAAACAAAATAAACGAGAAGGCTGTTTAAGCGAGGAAACATTTTTGCTTTGAGGCATACGGTAAATACCATCCCAGAACTAATAAAGTATCTTTTGATGGAGCAGAATTTCAAATATGTTTTAACTGGAAAGTTCCAAACTGATAATTTTAAGCCAGATTTGGGCAATACAGACAAATGTCTGGAGCAAATTATCATGTCCTGGAAATTTTGCAAGCTGAAAAGTTTGCGCATTAAAGTGTGTTAACTTTGCACTCAGATAAATATGGTACTATCTCACTAAAAAATTTAATTTCAAATCATTCAGGTGAGATATTTCATGTTAAAGTAGATATTGCAGATTTCAACGAAATATTAAACATTAGAAATAAACCAGATGATATTTCAATAGAAGAGTATCAGCTTTTTAAAGTATATAGCGGGGTACTGTGTGCATAATATAAAATTCAAATGCTCTGATTGCAAGCATACATTTGTTTTAGATAAAACAGATTAATTTCGACTCGGAAAATATCGAAGGGACAAAAAAATTTGAGACTTCTGATGAGGAGGTTTAAAAAAGCCCACAGATATTGTTATGAAAGTCATTTCAACGCAATATTTCATTTTTAATTTGTTAATATCGAAAACATTCGAATCGAAGTTTTTTTAAAGTTGATTGCCAATCTTGCTTTACAAGCATAACAGAAGCGTATCTGGATACACGAGTTGTGGAATGTCTTGCATTCGCTTCATTCACCTTTAAAATTTAACATTCCTGCATTTTCATGTTTTAAAAAGTATTCGTTACATTTGGGAACATATGCTTAAATAATTATTCAAAAAAGTGCAGTGAAGAAATTTTAACCGTGAAGGATAATCGAAAAATGAAGAAATTTAAGGCCAATTAAACTAATGTTTGCTTTTTATATTTTTCTGTTTTATTTATTTAAATATTCAATTATCAATTCGTATTTTATTCATTGTGCATGTATATCCTTGTAATTTTTTTATACTACATACATTTTATGAACGTGTGTAATTGTTTATATAACTATTATTTGAAGTAAAATTATTTATTTATTTACGTTATTCTTTTAAATTATTTTCATAAAGATTTTAGCATTCAAAGTATGTAAAATGTTATTTTTTAATTTCAAAACTTTTGTTTGATTTTTAGATATTTTTACCATAGCATAATATTGAATTTTAATGCATATGCATAAAAATAATGTAGTTAATAGTTTAAATAATATCATCACAAATGCAAATTATTCAAAATTTGAAACTAATCAGTATGTTGCCTCATTAATGATATATTCCATGAAAAGTTTTTTTTCTGATTATTTATAGGTAAGTGTATTTACTAATGTATATATATTTTTAACATCCTATATTTGCTATGTAATTATTATGGTGTCTAAACTGTGTGTGTTCATGTCATATATGCATTTTTTATGTAATAATATGCCTCAAATACTTTACTTTTCCTATTTTCTTTTTTATTTTATTGGATTGAAATTATTTTATATTTTTGAATATTGAATGAATGAATTATTTTGATTGAATATTTTTAACGTATAATCTAGAATCTATTTTTACTATATAATTACTGTGGTATCTAGAACTGTTTGTCATTTCTATATTTGTATATATTTTTGCATGTATTTTTTTATAATAATATGCCTCAAATATTTACTTTTCCTATTTTCTTTTTTATTTTATTGGATTGAAATTATTTTAAAATTTTTGAATATTGAATGAATGAAAATTGAATATTTTTAACGTATAATCTAGAATCTCTCTCTATATATTTTTACTATATAATATTACTATGGTGTCTAAAACTGTTTGTCATTTCTATATTTGAATATATTTTTGCATGCATTTTTTTTATAATTCTTTCTTTTGTTATGATTCATTGATTCTATGAGCATAAAAATGTCATTTCGCAGGAAAAAGGAACTCCAGCAAAAAAGTTTCTAAATTACATGATTTTTTTATTAATATGCCCCCTAATGCTCTACTTTTCAAATTTTCTTTGCAAGTAAATGTTTGTTATTTTTTATTTTATCTGATTGAAATTATTTTACATTGAGCCAGTTTTTCTTAGACTTTTCTATACTGTTAGGGGCCTTTCATGAGTGATTTTGTCCCTTTTTCCGGGAAAATATTATGCATCATTCTAGCGTATTAATGCATAACTTTCATCAGAAAATATTCTCAGTAAGAATTAAAAAAAATAATCAATATAAATGCGGAAATTTTAACCTATGGCATGAAAAGAAATAAATGTTCAAAAACTTTATATTCCTCACAGAGCGAATGCGCGTAGAAAAGCTTTCCCTCCTTTCAAAATGCTGTCACGGCCTAGTCCTTGGCTATACACCCCGAGTCAGAGAGCCTTTGCTTTGCGTTCCGTAGGAACGGATACGAAAATGCTTTGTTAGAAATATTTAGAACGAGACAGATCATTCCCGCCTTCAAAATCCTCAAAAATTTTTTCACTTCACTGAAGAAGAAGACTCCGGGTTTGAACCGGGACCACTTGATCTGCAGTCGAATGATCTACCACTGAGCTATCCCTTCGCGTCAGCGAATC